ATTGCTCTGCCCACGAGGAAAGGCACTGGGGGTGGAGGGGCCTCTGGGACCTCCTGTATCAGACCCCGGTGCAGACCCTCCCTGCCACCCCCTCTCGGTGTGCAGCCCAGAGAAATGGTGACACGGTTGACAATGACACACTGACCCTGGTTCCAGGGACAAATGCTGGAACCTCAGGGAAATCACCAGACCCTCTGGTCTCACGTCTCATGTACGTAACTGTTACTTGTCTCTGCTGCCATTCAGCCCCACAAGTCTGTCCTTACAATTCCAGGCCCGGCAACCCAGCCAGCACTCAGTAGCCACAGAGCAGAAAACAATCAATGCAGAAGGGAAACTCTGCTAAGGAAAACAACCCAGGCTCCTAAGGAGCTGTTTGGCAAGATTCAAACCCCACCCCCTCCATTTAAGGACAGAAAGTCCCCTGCAAGACCAGCAATGCTTTGAGGCAAACACCACGGGTGTGAAGGGCCCTGGCTCTGAGCACGTTCTCTGCTCACAGTTCACGGCCCCACGGGCTGCTTATAAAGCTGCAGGCTTCATCCATGTAGCTCCTGTCGGATTTCCAGACTACAGAGAAGAGATGGCAGGAGAGAGGGAGCTTTACTTCCTTCCACATAATCACCTGCGACCTGAAGAGCCCACAGTGCGAAGTGCTGCCCCCTTCAGCCCAGCCGTCCCACTGTCCCTTTCAGCCACGCCCATGGAAACACTTGGGACAGAGACCACACAGGGATCTTGGGGGCCAACTGGCTACGGAGAGCATCCATTATACTCAGAAGCCAAAAAAAGAAGGAGTTATTATCCTTCCAAAAGTGACTGTGCACTCCAGACTCATTCCTAGTGTGGACAGTCTGGCCGACACATCTGAGGCCTTTCTCCCGCCAACACACCACCATCTACAGTGTGAGAGCAGATGCCCAGAGCCGGGTGCACTCCTTATGTGGTGCTTGGCAGGGCGACACCACCAGGGTCAAGCCACCCCCCCAGCAACAGTGCTCAGCCGTACATGGAGGGACGGGGCAGGCGACCTGCAGGCCCCTCCCCTGCTGTACTCCGCAGGCAAATTCTCCCATCAGCAGCCAGACAGGTCTGTGGGGCGGCCCAGCCTCGGGAGCCGACCTCCACGAAGCACAGCGCCTGCACCTCGGCCCTTGGCATCTCGGGGCACCGACAGCCCAGCACTGAGGTGTTTCTCTACAGGGAAAATGCTCTGCCACCACAAGGGACGCTCATGAACGAGTCAGGAGAAAAGAGCTCGAGCCGCCAGGACCAAGAGCCCACTGCCCACGGTCCCACCCCGTATCCAGGCAACACGTGTTTCCAGCAGCAGAGGTGCGTCTCGGCCAGTGCCCTCCAAAGCCCGCAGATGCTCGACGGGCTCCAGTATGACTGCAGTCGCCACTGACCGCACCCACCCTGCCCCCTTCGTGCGGCTGTGTCCGGCGCAGAACATTCTGAGTGTGTCCTCAGAGAGCGGGGGTGGGGGGCAGAGGCTGAGAGCCCACCCCACCCCAGCCCTTCCAACTGCCCCCATGCACCAGAGCCAGCAGCTGAATATGCATTTCTCTAACACTCACTCTTCAAACCCTTTCTTTCCAGAGAGAAACTGGTGCTGGAAGAACCTGGAGACAGGACACGACTCGGTTCTGCCCCTAAGCACAGGCTCACAAGGAAGATCTAAGAAGCTGTAAGAAGGGGGGACAGAGCGCACTCTGAGCCCCCTGACAAGGGCATCACCCTCAGTGAAGGAGACCTGGAGGCCCATCCTGAATGCCCTGTCTCACAGGGTCCTCTGCCAGACCAGTCACCACGACGACGATGCCGAGGACTCCACAGCACACCCTCTTCTCCACCGTTCAGCCTGCGAGGGCCACGCAGGTCAATGCTGTGAGCGGAGCAAACCCAGGAGAAGGGGACCACGACCCTCCCGGCCCCAGAGCAGCACAGACAGCGCCAGCGTGAACCCTGGAGGAAGCTGGACCAGGGCAGAGGACGCAGAGCCCGGGGACAAGCAGGGCCAGGGACTCTGACTCGGGACACCCCCAGGGGAGTGTCACCGCTTGGGTTACTTTAGCCATGCTGGCGCAGGCTCAGGGCACTGGTACTGTGGGAAGTGACCACACGGGGACCTGCAGGCCTCCCCAGACATTTCCGGAGGACAACACAGCAGCCCCGTGGGGACAGAGGCACCTCCCTTGTCCGCTGGATCCCAGAGGCTCTCCTAGGACTAGGCGGTGGGGACAGCACAGTGTTTCCCACAAGTCCCCAGGCCCAGCCGGTCCACCCTGGTCCACCCTCCATACACTTAGGTATAGCGCTCAGCACTCTGTCCTTTAAAATCGCTGGCACCTCTTCTCCGTATTCACCAGACAGCAAGTGGAGAAACTGTCATCAGCAGAGAGCAGGGTGTGTTTGGGGAGAGCCATCTCCGTTTCCGTAGGAGACCAGCCCTCACAAGACAAGAAGGGTCTTGAGGACACAAGGCCCAGCTCAGCACCAACTCTTGGAGACCCACCCGAAACCCTCCAAGTCTCGGACCTGCTGGGCTTCCCAGCATCTGTGGAGAAGCCAGACTGCCCTCTGCGCCCCCTGCTGGCTAGTCGGGGCTGCGCAGGGCCTTAGTGCTCCCTCCCTGCAGAGCCACCTCCTGCCTGGGGGACAGGGGTGAGGAGGGGAATGGGGAAGTGGGGGAAACAGGGGTGGGGACGACTGGGACCCGACAGGTCGAGGACAACACTGAACAGAAGGCACTGGACTCGACCAGTGGCCCTGTCCACTGAGGTCAAACCCAGCACACACCTGGGCACCACAGGAGACTGGAGAGAAACATACCCAAAGGCTTTTCTCCATTGTTTTCAAAATTTCTATTAATCACCATGTAATTTAATAATGAAAAACAATCACTTTTTTTTTAATCTCACTGGAGGATATTTTTCTATTGATCTCCAGATAGAGTGGGAGGGAGGGAGGAAGAGAAACATGTCTGTGAGAGAGACACATCGACAGGCTGCCTCCCCCCCACAACCCCAACCAGGGATTGAACTGCAACCAAGGTACATGCCCTTGACCAGAATCAAACCCACGACTCTTTGGTCTATGGGCCGACACTCTAATTGCCAAAGGGGCCAGGGCTGAAAAACAATCACCTTTAACAAAAAGAACACCAGGCTGCCCTGCCCCGCGGCAGCCTTAGCCATGCCAGTGGTCACCACACAGCCACACTGCATGGGCCCTGCCAGGGGCCTGGGGCAGCAGGCAGACACCATGAAAGAGGGAAGCTGGGGGCTTCATGACCAAACCGAGGGTCTCTAAGGTGACTGTATGAGGTCACCTGAAAGAACTGGAAGAGTCTAGACAGCAGGAACATGTCAACAACAAGGGTCTAAAACAACCATGTTTAATCAAGGTTCCACAGGAATTGGGTGGGCTGGACCACGGGAGCTCAAGAGGAGTGGCGGTAAGAACCAGTTTCCAGCCTGGCCAGTGTGGCTCAGTGGAGGGAGCATCGTCCCGTGGACTGAGAGGTCCCCGTTGAATTCCAGGTCAGGGCACATGCCCGGGTTGTGGGCTCGATCCCCAGTGGGGGGCGTGCGGGAGGCGGTCAATCAATGTTTCTATCTCTCTCTCTCTAAAAAAAAAAATCAATAAAAACATTTTAAAAAAAGAACCAGTTTCCACCTGGAACCTGGGCAGAACTAGTGACCGGGACAAGTGGAGGAGGGGAGAGCAGCCAGTCGGCCGGCACAGGAATTCGTGGCCAGCTGCGTGCACAGCAAGGCAGGCAGCCACGAGAGGAGGGTTCCACATCCAGGGACCACGGGAACAGGAGGAAAGGTGCCCAGGTTCTCATGCACCCCCAGACCTAGCAGGTTCTCAGGGGTCCTGGGTGCTGGCATCCAGCCTGCACTGCTCTGCTGCCCGGACAGACGGATGGACTAGTTCACGCCCCTCCCGAGAGCAGAGCTGCCTATCTGGATGCAGTCCTGGAGTGATCCAGGGGCCTCGAGACTCTCAAGGTGTGCCAGCACGGCAGCCTCAGGGAGCCCACCCCGGCCTGATGCATACACGACGTCTGCTCTAAGAAAACACCCAGAGGCCTGCTCTCCGGCCCTGTGCCAGCACTGGACAAAGGCCGCGTCACCCTGCACCTCACCAGGCACACTGCCGGGGCAGGGTCTGAAACACTGGTGTGAAGGGAGCAAACGTGCCCAGCAACAAGTCCTTGGTCAAGCTGGCGGCCGCCAGGCCCCCCTTCTGAGAGAACCAAAGACAGACCCAAGCACACTGTTTCCCGGCAGAGCCCTGAGGACGTGTGCAAGTACCACGCGGCCTCAGAGCTCGGGGATCCAGCCCCACGGCTGCGGAAAACCTCCATTCCTGGCACCTGTTTAGGGGACAGCACAGCATGGAGCCCCGCCTCGCCAGGGCAGGCAGCACGGCTCATCCACCTGCCACAGCAGCACGTGATGTTCGCCTAATCAAACTGGACTCTGCGTCGAGGCACTTACACTGCGTCTGCTGCAGTGATCCCACACCAGGAATGACAGACAGCACCACACTGAGGCACAATGCTCACAGTCAGAGCTCGGTGCCAACGGACAAGTTAAACGCACCACTTATTCTCGTGGTGGATTCATGCCATGCTGGATGTGACATTTTTGGATGTCAATTCCTAAGCACAGGCTCCCAAGCGGCTCCCCGGCTCCCTCTGTGCGCCAGGCCTCGCCATTCCCTAGGGCACAGCCCAAAGACCCTCTCCAGCTGTCACCACCTGCGCCTCCACTGAGCCATCAAACTCGCCTTGAAAACAGCTCAGGTGGCTGGAGACGGTCAGTCACGGTGCTCCCACCTCAAAGTGACTGAAATTCTCATTTGTCCCAGCTGCTTTGGGAGGGCACTGGGTGTATCCACAGGTAACCTGCCCCGTCCTCTGCCCGCCCAGACAGACGCCAGTACCGTGGCCCTCTGTCCCGGCGAGGCCCCCGCGCCACACCTACCTCGGGGCACACTTCCTCGGGGCCCGTGGCTGCAGCTGCCAGCAGTGCCCCTGCTGCGGACGCCTTCTCCAGCTCTCTGCCCTTCCTCTCTGGCACGCGGGCACCTGTCCCCCTCGGTTTTGCCATCCTGCAACAGAGAGAGTGAATTGGAAATAGAAGGTCTTGGGCCATATAATATTTGTATACTCTCCCATTATGAAAGAAACACAGAGGTATTTCAGAAAATATGGAGAGTACATAAAAGTGAAAAGAGAGCCCAATCCCCCAGTTTCTTCACCTTAGACAACAAATTTAACAATCTGGTGACTTTCTTTTCTGAGGTTTTAACACACCGGGTTGGCAAAAGTAGGTTTATAGTTGTTCGTATGGAAAATAATGCAGTTGCTAAATAATAACACAAGAATAAGCTGTGTTTTGTGTACTCACAACTGTAAATCTATGTTTGCCCCACTCTGTATATTTCTGTATTTCTCACTAAACATGAGCACAAAGATTTTAACATTAAGAGAAATGTAATTTAATGATAATATCAAAAATTTTCCAAAAGCACAAATTACAGAAATGTGTCAATTCCCTAGTTGTTGACTATTTGGGGTTATTTATTTCCTGCTGTTATGTACTAACTCATGCTTCCTCACCAACCAGGAAGGCTGCCAGTGGCCGGGTGCACCTGGCACCAGGGCATGGGGTCGCCCACAGGTAAAGCCTGTGATGCATCTGAGTGGCCTTCTTAGAGTGAGGAAGCAGCGGTGACTGGGGCCACATAAAGAGTTGACATACCACCTGAGCGCTAGATAGAAGCTGACATGTCTGATTTCCCGAGCACAGCAGGATCTGGAACTCCACGTGTAAGAGCAACGCCCATGAATTCTAATACAACTGCGTTCATGGGACTGTGTCATGGGGGAACCCGGAGAACTGGAGGAGGTCTGGATTCTGAAAGCACGCCGGAGGGGGCGAGGCGGAGAGCCCTCCACCTCTGAGGGTAGGGGTCTGACTGGGATGAGGCTGATTCTTAGAAGAAGCAGGAACTGAACCAACTCCAGCTGCTGTAGTAAAGGGTGCTACAGGGGCAGCAAGGAAGAAGCCCCACCCCCACCCCACCTGCTTCTAGCCCCTTTGGGTGGAGCCTAAAAAGGAGCTGCAGACAGAAAAGTATTCTGGAAGTCCCGGAAGCTGCCACTCACCACCGGGGGGAAAAGGGGCCTCTGGGGCTGAGAGGACGTCACAACCCGCGGCAGCACACGCACTGCGCACTGCTTCACACGAGACGCTGCTCTTAGCAGAGGCAACTCAACCACATGCCAACAGAGAATCAAATAAATAAATAAGCCAGAATAGACCAACGCAATGGAATCCCATTAAAAAATCACAGTAACAGATCATGTTACAGATATAGGATGAAAAATGTACATCACTCTGGGTAGTATTGTCCAATTTTGCTTTTAAGAAAAAAATACTGAAAACAACAACAGAGAAAGCTCCGTTTGTGTTTATATATTCACATATATATTAAAACGTTTGAAGCATATAAACAAAACCTTTACTTAATGAGGTGGGATTACAAGGAACTATTTTTTTTTTAATCCTCACTTGAGAACATTTTTCCATTTTTTGTTCAGCTAGAATGGGAGGGAGAGAGAAACATCGACGTGAAAGGGACACATGGAGTGGCTGCCATCCAGGGCCAAGGACAAACCTCAACCGAGGTACATGCCCTTAGCAGGAACCGAACCCAGGTCTCTCTGGACCACAGGCTGACACTCTAACCACTGAGACAAACCGGCCAGGGCACAAGGAACTATTTTTTACAGCTCCAGTTTATTTTGCTCTTTTCAAGGTTTTATACTTGAAAAGTATAATTAGCAGTGTGATAAGAAATCTGGAAAGAATGAGACTGTTGACACAGGGGCTTTGAAAAAACAAAAAACTGCCAGCCAATTACCTTGTTAGAGAAATAAAAGTATAGCAAATATTTATATAACAGTCACCATAAAAGTTAAGTTAAATCTTTTTTATTCTGTAAGTTATCATTAAAAAGTGTAATCACTAAGCCTGTTTGCTAAAAAGAGGGTAAAGACTTTTCCATATTATGAAAAGGTCTCTTTGAACAGTTCCAGAGATGGTGCCCCCGCCTCGAGACAACGCTTGCACAGAAAACGGCCGTCCTCACATCTACAGCTAACTGAGCACGGACATGGCTGAGGCTGTGTGATGGGAAAGAGGCGTCCTCTCAACCAACGGAGCTGGCGAACTGACATCCACATGCAAAAGGGTGAAGTTGGGTACCTACCTCACACCATACACAAAAATTAACTCAAAAAGGATTAAAAAACAAAAAAACTAAGAGTAAGAGCTAAGCTATGAAGAAAGTCTGAAAACAGCAGTAACTGTTCGTGGCCTTGTATCAACAACGATTTCTTAGACATAACACCAAAAACATAAGCAGCAAAAGAAAATAGGTAAATCTGACTCATCAGAATTAAAACTGTTTGTGCTGCAAATGATGCCAGCAAGAAAGGCAACCTACACACAGGATTGGAGGAAATACATGGAAATCATATATCTGACAAGACTTGTACCCAGAGTGTGTAAGAACTCTTGCAACTCAGCAAAAAATAGACAAATAACCTCATTTAAAAATGGGCAAAGAGCCAGGCCGGTGTGGCTCAGTGGTTGAATGTGGACCCATGCACCAAGAGGTCGCTGGTTTGATTCCCAGTCAGGGCACATGCCCAGGCTGTGGGCCAGATCCCCAGTGGGGGGCTGCAGGAGGCAGCCTATGGATGTTCTCTCTCATCGATGTTTCTATCGCTCTCTCCCTCTCCTTTCCTTTCTCTCTAAAATCAATAAAGAAAAAAAATTTAAAAAATAAAATAAAAATGGGTAAAGAGCCTTGGCCAGTTTGGCTCTATGGATAGAGCAGCAGCCTACAGACCAAAGGGTTGCGGGTTTGATCCCTGGCCCCAGTTGGGATTGTGCAGGAGGCAACCTATGTGTCTCTCTTACATCGATGTTTCTCTCTCTCTCTCCCCTTCCCTCTCTCCCTCCCTTCCACTCTATGTAAAAATCAATGAAAAAATATGCTCAGGTGAAGATTAACTTAAAAAAAAAAGGCAAAGAGGTTTTTTTGTTTTTGCTTTTTATATGTTTTTCCAAAGATACACAAATGGCCGATAAGCACATGGAAAGATGCTCAGTATCACTCATCATCAGGGAAGTGCAAATCACAGGACACCAGTTCACAAGCACCAGGACAGCTGGAATCAAAGACAGACGATGACAACACACACTGGTGGAGACGAGAGAAGCCTGAGCTCTCACTCCTGGCTGGGGGGGTATAAACTCTGAGCTGCTTTGTGAAACAGTCTGGCAGGTCCTCAAGAAGTTGAACACAGTTATGTGACCCAGCAAGTCCACTCCTGGTTATATGCTCAGGAAAATAAACACATCCTCATAGTACTCTGAACACTAATCTCCATAACAGCATCAGTCGTAATATCCAAAAGGCGGAAACAACCTTGAGGTCCATCCATTGACAGTGGATAAACAAGTGCGGTCTCTCCATGCGCTGGACATTAGTCAGCCACATGAGCAAACGCTCACAACGAAAGGTGGAGATGGGCTATATACGATATGACCCTTATTTTGTAAGAAAAATTCTATATACAAATGTGCACAAAGGAAAACACTTCCATGAAATATATTAAAATATTAACATTTTAGGGGTAGATGTATACAAATGTTTATTTTTCCCCTTATACTTTTCTGTAATTTCTGCAGTAAGAGGGCGGGGGAATTTTTAAGATACCAGCTCAAATACGCTCAGTGAAGGAAAAGCAATTCCATCAGCACAACGCTGATAGCACAGGCCAGGCAGTCTCGAGAAGCTGCCAGTAGCTGGGCTGGACTGGGCTGCAATCACTGATTAGGACAAGTCAGCGCCAAAAGGCTGCCAGGGAGCCATGGCTGAAAAGCTACTGCACAGGACCTTAAAAAAATAAATCAGCCTCTACGAAGAAAAATCTTTTTTAAAATCTGAAAATAATCACCCATGGTCCCAGATGTCCCCCTTCACCCAATGCACCTTTTATTTTCATGTCTTGGCAGGTCACAGGGAAGGGTGCCTCTCAACGCACGGGGCAAAGGTCCCCTGAAGGAGGGTCTGGGCCCTCACAATCCACAGCCCCAGGAGATCAGTCCCAGGAGCCCCGGTGTGAGTCCCAGGTCCTGTGCCCAGGGCTAAGGCTTTGCTCCCGTCCTTTCTGACTCAGGACTATTCTACATAGACGAATGGCCCGCAGCTTCTGTTGTTCTGTTCCCTGTCCCTACTATCCCCCTCCCACCCACCACCCACCCCAGCCAGACTCTAAACCCTGTTAGGACAATAACAACCAGCAAGCCATCCACCAAGCCCACCTCCCATCTTTCTAGCTCTTTCCAGCTCACCACCTCTTGGCACTGTGGGAGCCAGTCATTCTTCAACTTCGCCAAGACCTGCAATTCACCCCACCCCCTTCACCCCACTCCCACAACTTCACGCCCATGGTCCATCATTACAATCTCGCCTTACACACACTCTCAGCTCTTTCTCTGGCAAATCCCCAACTCTCCCACCTGCGCCTGCTGGCCGGAACCCCCAGAACCAGGCTGAAGGGTCTCCCCAGCCCCAAGGGGATCTGGAGTGCTGCCGAGCCATTCCACCACTCTCCCCAACTGCAGCCCCTCCCTGGACCTCCGGTCTGTTCGGCCTCCTAACCTCTCCCTCCAACATCGCCCCCTCTGCTCCCTTCTCAGCAGAAGACCTTCATTCCTCACCCCTGAGCTTCCACAGCGGCCACGCCAGGGACCTGGCCTGCCCCCCTGTTACCATGGAAACGGCGCTGGCTCCCATCCCCGGCTCCAGGTCAGCGCCGCAGCCACTCCCGGGCAGGTGGGTCTCTCCCCTCCATGAATGCACCCCAAGGTCCCACATCTCACACGCTCTCATTCCACGCGCTTCCTCCTCTGGCACAAACCTCACGGACGGCTCACTCGCACCAACTCCGTTGTCCCCCAGCCCCCTCCTGGCCCGGCCGCGGCCAGGCCCCTCTGCGCCCTCTCTCCGTCGACCTCAGGCCGCATCCTTACGACGGCCCTGACCCCCCAAGAATGCGCACCTGAGAAATCCAAGGCTGCCTGACACGCAGCGACCCGACACGGGCCCGCCCCGGCCCACTCAGCGCAGCCTCGTCGCGCTCCGGCCGGCCCCCCCCACCACGTGGGCTCTGCGGCCGCGACGCGCGCTGTTTCTCCCGGTGCTCACCGCCGCCTCTGCCGCCTCCAGCCCCTGCGCCGGCCATCGCTCACCCGGCCCGTCCACGCTGTCGCCCGGCCTGCAGCGACCGGAGCCACGCGCGGCGCCGTGACTGCAAACCCGACACGGCCGCTGCCTCAGCCCCCGCGTGCCGCACGGCCGCCCGGGCCCAGGCCGCCGAGGCCCTCCGCGTGCCCCTGCCGCCCCGCAGGCCCCGCAGCCGGGCCCACGCCCCACACTGTGCCGCCCCGCGACGCCGAGCCTCGTCCGAGCTCCCCTACCTGCGCGTGGCCGCCGACGCCGGCTTCCGGCAGGCGCAGCGCCCAGGGAACGCCGTCCCGCCCTTCGAGGCGGTGCCGCCCATTGGCCGAGACCCGCCTCCATCCCCCAGCTGGCCAATGGCAAGCGGCGATCGCGAATGGGCGGGGCTGAGGCGCGGGCCGGTTGCGTCATCTCTGGACGCCGCCAGTTGCTGAGAGGCGCCGGTTGCCAGGCAACCCCCACGTGCGGCGGTCGGGATCTGGGCCCATAACACGGTTTCTGGCCTGGCGACCGCTGCTCTGGGGCTGGACGACGCTGGCTGCGGGGTCCCTTGGACTTCAGTGAACGGATGACGCCCGTTGTGGTTCACGGGGATTCATCTCAAACATAATAAACTCATATAAATTATAAATGCTGTAATTTAAACTGTGTACGCTGTTTAAATGTCACCAACATGACCCGAATGCATTAGAGCCGTATCTGCAAGAGTGTTGTAAATTCAGATCAGCGGTCACCTCGGGTTGGAGGCAAAGGATGGAGGTGTGTCTGAATCAAACCCGGTAAAATTAACCATCGGGGGGGCAGATACCTGAGTTACATCCTCATTTGGTTTCTAGAGATAGTTAGCGAGCAGTCTGGACACCTGGAGAATGGGAGGAGAGGAAGATAGCTTATGTGGCTCACTGCCAAGGCGGGATCGCACCCAAGGTGTGAGAGGCTTGGGTGGGAGATCACTGCAAGCTAGTGTTCCCCACCGTCACCTCTGTGGGTAACTGATAACTGCTTGTTCCTAATTGTGTGCTACTACAGACAACTTACAACAAACATCTTCTTTTTTCCTGTACGTGTACATGAATCTCTGCAAGGCACATGTCCAGCTTAGTGACCACAGGAAAAGCTATTCAAGTGCTCCCACCAGGCTTCACGACTCCACTGAAAAAGAAAACAAAAGTTTCATCCTCACGAAAGCGTAAATAATATATAAAAGTAAATTGTATGTATAGTAGATACACTATTTACTTTTGCTTTTATTTTTGGCTCTGGTAACATAGGGATAGGTGATTCAGATTAGCCTCCTGTTGAAAACAGATAAGCTGGTTGAAATATTTTTTAATCCTGTTTCATGACATTAGTATGACAGGTAAATATTATATAAGGGAACAATAAACAGGAAGAGAAAGAAAAGGAAATTCAGAGAAGTAAGCCTTACGTTTCGCTCAGGGGTCGGTCAGTTCTGAAAGCAGCAGCTACCAGGCTGAGAACGTGAAGAGGTTTTGACAGCTTTGTGGTCTGGGTCTGCTGAGTTCTTGAAAATGTCCCATTTTGAGTTGAAACCCTGCAAGGCCACACTGTAGGAGTGAATGTGTCCCTGGGCTGTCACTCTGGCCTTTCTGCCTTTCCTAGCCTTATGATCCACTGTGCCTCTGATAGGAAGGCACACTCCCCAGCCTATGCTATTCCAAAATCTAACGTCCTCACCTAACGCTAGGGAGCTCAGCCCCTGGCAGTGTCTTCCGCTGCACCCACCTACAGAGGACAGCCATCACTGAGCTGCTCAGCTATGCTGAGGTCCCCACACCAGCATGTCCCTTAGGAAAAGGCAAGTCCTTTGTGCCCTACCAGAGAGATCATAGTCAGCATGAGCCCTCTGGTCTCTCATAATAAAAATGTCCTAGCGCTGGCCAGTTTGGCTCAGAGGTTAAAGAGTTGGCTTGCAGTCCAGAGAGACCCGGGTTCAGTTCCTACTAAGGGCACGTACCTCAGTTGCAGTTTGTCCCCGGCCCTGGTTGGGTCATGTGGGTAGCAGCCACTCGATGTGTCCCTTTCATGTCAATGTTTCTCTCTCTCTCCCCCTCTCACTCTGAACAAAAAAAAAAAAAAAGAAAAATGTCCTCGGATGAGGATAAAAAAAAAAATGTCCTAATAAGCTCAGGACTATTTCCTTCTTCTTGTCTGTGTCTGTCTGTCTGTCTGTCTCCCTCTCCCTGCCTCTGTGATTGCATCTGTTGCCATGGCTTCCATCCAAGTCCATGCTAATGACTCCTATTCTATTTCTAGTTGAGACCTGTCCACTGAATGCTAGGCTTGCACATCCACCTGCCTACTTGGCTTTCCTACGTAGCAGTCTAATATATGTTTCAACCATAACAGACTCAAAGTCACACTCCTGGTTTTCCATCCAAACCTGTTCCTTTCCTCCTCATGCCCCATCCTTCCATCCCTGTCCTAACAAATAGCACCAAGAAACGTTAGGTGTCGTCCTTTTTCTCTCTGCTCCTCATCCCGCACATGTTCATTTAACAGCAAAATATGCGATGGATGCACCACTCCCCTCTCCTGCCATCTGGTTGAGAGGCATCTGGTTGACGTCCCTCACGGGGTCATTTCAATGGCCTGGAACTGACCCCACTCCGCTTACCCTTCTATTCCACCCCACCTCACACAACAGCCAGAAAGACCATTGTAAAACATGGATCAGTTCACGGTAAGATTTGTTTTGAGGGTAATATGTTTGTAATTTTAATGTTCTTCCAAGGTTTCTGCAACCACCCAGAGGGCTCAGAAATACTCTTCATACTTGCCAAGTGGAAGCCTGACACCTGCTCTCGTCCCTTCAAACCATAAAATGATACCGCTTATAGAAACAACTGATGTTCCAAAGAGGCGATCACAGCAACTTTTTTCCCCTATATTTGTATTTTCATTAACTCGCTCTTTGGACTACAAGAGAAGCAGGTTTCTATGTAATGGGACCACTCTGGTATTCTTTACCATGATGGAGTTTATACTTTTGGAAGCAGATACATAATCAGACAGACCTGACTAGTCTTTGAAGAGCTGTACAAATCAGATCAGTTTGGCATGTCGACAGTGGGGGGGTTGTGCGTGTTGGGGGATCAGGTATGTGGGATGTACTTTCTTTTTTTTTTTTATCCTCACCTGAGTACATTTTTCGATTTTTTGTTCAGATAGAGTGGGAGGGAGAGAGAGGAAGAGAGAGAGAGAAACATTGATGTGAAAGGGACATGATGAGTAGCTGCCTCCCACACAACCCAACCAGGGCTGGGGACAAACTGCAACCGAGGTACATGCCCTTAGCGGGAACCAAACCCGGGTCTTTGGACCGCAGGCCGACGCTCCAACTGCTGAGCCAGACCGGCCAGGGCTGGGGGATGTACTTTCTGCTCAATTTCACTGTGAACCTAAAACTGCTCTAAAAATAAAGTTTATCAATTAAAAATCAAATCACAAGTGATCCTACTCTAGGCTTACAGTTTATTTTTTATTTTATTTTTTTTTATCCTCACCGGAGGATATTTTTCCATTTTTTGTACAGATAGAGTGGGAGGGAGAGAGAAGAAGGGAGAGAGAGAGAGAAACATCGATGTGAAGGGACACATCGAGTGGCTGCCACCCGCACGACCAACCAGGGCCGGGGACAAACTGCAACGGAAGTACGTGCCCTTAGCGGGAACCGAACCCGGGTCTCTCCGGACCGCAGGCCGACGCTCTAACCGCTGAGCCAAACTGGCCAGGGCTAGGCTTACAGTTTAAATAAGTAAACATCAGCCCTGGCCGGTTTGGCTCAGCAGTTTAGAGGGTCGGCCTGTAGACCAAAGAGTCGATTCCAGCCAAGGTCATGTACTTTGGTTGCAGCCTGTCCCCAGCCCTGGCCGAGGTCATGCGGGAGGCAACCAGTGGATGTCTCTCTCTCTTCCTCCCTTCCTCCCTCCCACTCTATCTGAAGATAAATAGAAAAATATCCTTGGGAAGGATTTTTTAAAAAAATAAAGTAAAAAGTTAGCATCAGGAAATGTGACAGTCCTGCCACGTTGCTGTTTTAATAAGAATCTGAACCACTGCGGGTCAAGCGCAGCTCTGCCTAGCCCTTCCTCTCCCCAGGACCTGGCCTTCAAGTTCAATGAGCAGCTTTTCCAATTTACAGCAAAACCGCAAGTCACACCCTCCATTTTCTCCACTTGTCTTTCTCCCTGCACACGTCATCTGAGCCTGGGATGTGTGTTTCTCTGGGCTGAATTCCAGGATAGGAGTCCCTGGTTTTGCCGGAATTCTGAGCTCATCCCGGCGTTCAGCTCAGCCACGTGCCGCCATGCGTCACAAACACCAGGACAGCCTGGGCTCCTGACACCTGAACAGGTTGCATTAGACAAATGCTCCTGGGTTCTCCAACCTGCGTTAGACAGGGGTGTGGAAGGTGGGGGGAGGTGGCTGGGAGCAGGAGGCGGCTTCAACAGACGAACACTCAGACTGCACCCTAGTGTTCAGAGGAGGGCAGCACAGGGGCTGCCCAGGAGGGCTGAAGGGTGGTGAGTCACCTCTCGGCAAATGACAATCATCACCCAATACTGTACATGATTTCACAACTGAGCACCATGGACGCGCTCATACCGCAGCTTAGTAGACAGAATCTGACCTTTTGCCTAGGCTCTCATGAGCTTTCCATCTGGTTGCTATGGAAACAGTGACCTTTGTAATCGCTCATTAACGCTGGTACACTGAAACCCTTTAACTGCACTTTTTTTTCCCCTTTGTAAGATTGAGCCAAAAAAGTACCTACAAAAGTAGCTTTAGTTTAGTTCAGAATAAAAAAAATCTCCAGAAGTAACGTTAACCAGCTGCTCTGCCTGTTGGCATGGGTTTGTTTTGTTTGTTTTTTGTGTTTTTTTTTTAGCTTATTTCAAGTTTGGTCTTAGGCTTATTGCAAAGAATTAGGAAGGTTAATTAAAAATACATTTGAAAAAAAATCCACAACCCCTTTTAACATGAATAGCCTGTCACCCAGACTCAACACTGATGGGTGGGCTATACCCTCTGACATGCTAGTCCCCTTCCCGAGTCACAGGAAGGCCTTCTGGCGCCACCTTGTGAACACCTCTGATACTGCAACCCGAACACCAGCATGGCCAGCAGCCACCGTCTTTCCGGCTGTAGACTAGACAGACGCTGGACACTGGGAACAACAGCCTGGCTCTGGGCTCTGTGTGAAGCAGCAGCGGGTGCCACCCAGGCCCAGCTCAGGAAAGGCAGACGAGCACCCTCAGTGGGAGGGGTGGTGCTGATGACGTCTGTCCAGGGCCAAAAGTCCCTCTCAGAAGATAACGGTGCTGCCTGCAGAGGCTGACTTCACACTCCCCGTCCAGCAGGGAGTGGGGATTCACAGGTGGGGCAGTGACGCGGGGACAGAGTGGACAGTGAAGCTCTGGGGTTCAATCTGAGACCCTCCCAGGCTTCCCCACCCTGGAGATGCTCAACAGCCAGGAACAGAGCAAACACGACCCAGCAGCTCCCTCAGCAGCTGTCAAGTACAGCCTGGCTGCTACCTGACCCACAGCCACCAGATTCCATTGCTGCTCAAGTTCACCCATCAAACAGCCAGATAAGACTTGAATCCAAATCTGCAGCTCCGAGGCTCCTTATACCGCCTCCTACTTCTTAAACATTCCAACGAGACACCCCAGCTGCTCAGCAAAGTGGGCCCCTTCCTACCGGGCAGAAAGAGACCAGGAAAGTGGGCCCCTTCCTACCGGGCAGAAAGAGACCAGGAAAGTGGGCCCCTTCCTACCGGGCAGAAAGAGACCAGGAAAGTGGGCCCCTTCCTACCGAGCAGAGGGAGACGGAGCACAGACCAACAGCTAAGTCCTCTCTAAACAATGCTGCAGACTTTTGACACTGAAATGAATTCTCCTAACTTCCTAATATTAACATTGGCACTTTCTATGCAAGTTTACTATTTGCCGTGGCTTCCCCACCCCGTGGCACACTGCCACAAACAACCCTGTGCTGTCGGGAGCCACGCATCGGCAGCTTGCACTGAAGTGGACACTCCCAGCGGAGGCCGGGAGGGCGTAGCCAGGACCTCGACATCTGTAAATGACAAACACTTGCGGATGCAAACACCACTGAGCGGCGACGTGGTGCTGCAGAGTGACAAGCAGGAAGTCCTGCTTTCCTACATCCTACAGCCCTGTGAGCAGCCTGGCTGCCTCCACGGCACACGTGGGAGCCCCGAGGCCCTTGGAGCCCCTCAGAACGCTCTGCAACAGGGACGCGGCCCAGCCCCACCTGAAGACAGAAACACGAGCAGACTGAGAAACGGGCAATTCTTCCTGATAAAATGTGGGTGCTCTGCCCTTTAGTTTTGAGGATAAAAACCAGCGCTGACCGAAACAGAAGACAAGCCACCTACCTGGCTTTAAAATGTCTAGTTAGTAACTAGTCATAAAACAAAACGAAGACCAGTAACAAAAAACTTTAATATTTTATTTAATCCATTACATCCAAAATATCATCAGTTCAATACTTAAGTACTTTTAACAAGGAGATATTTTACTTTTAAATTTTTGGTACTGTCTTCAAAGCCATTTTATTCTCAATTTGGACAGTATTTAGATTTTACAGTTTGCAGTTCAAAAAGTAGATTCACATATCCAAGTTCCTAACAGATTTAAAAATTTTCTAACAACTGAATCAAGCTAACAGTTCTGACCTTGAGTGAATGAAACCGAGCTGGTGCTGCAGCTACGTGGCCTTCCCCCAGCAGTGGGTGCCGGTGTGGGCCAAGGACCAGCAGCCTCAGCAGCACCCAGGAACTTGCTGGAAGTGAAAATCCCCAGGGTCCCCAGGTCCCCAGGCCCCCAGAATGACACTGATGCTGATGCTTCCGGAAGCGGAGAACCGGTCAGAACAATCCCGCCCGGGAAGGGTGCGGGAGGGTGCCAACAGGGTGCGGGAGGGTGCCAACAGGGTGCGGGAGGGTGCCAACAGGGTGCGGGAGGGTGCCAACAGGGTGCGGGAGGGTGCCAACAGGGTGCGGGAGGGTGCCAACAGGGTGCGGGAGGGTGCCAACAGGGTGCGGGGGCAGCTCAGCCCACCTTGGAACGTGAGCGCCTCTGCGCGTTTCCTTGCGGAAACGACCTGACATCTCAGCGGAAACGCTTGGGTCTCAGGCCTTTGCCACGAGAAGTGCGGAAGCGCCAGAGCACAGAGCTGCCCGCGGAGCTACCAGGACGCACAGAAACAAGCTACCGCGCCAGCTTGAAGGGTCACTGGCATGTCATCGCTTTACTTTTGACCTGAAAGAGAACAAAAGAGGACCTTACTTCTTAGGTTTGTCCTGATTAACTACGAGTGGTGGATCACAGTCAGCCAAACACGGTGCTTCAAAACCGCTCTAAAAGGTCACTGCCTGATTACGCCCGAGCGGGAATAAACTGCACTTGGAACCTAGGGTTTGAGAAAGTCCACGTCCCCGCGCTCCCTGCGACTGAGCTGCACACCGAGGCAGCGTGCATTTCAACGGTCAGCTCGTAACTGCGCGACAGCGGCCTTTCAACGTTCACTGCTGGGCAAGGGCCTGCCACCCCGGCACCAAAGCAACTGTACCCACGAGGGCACCTGGACTAGTACCTGAGCTGCCAAGCCAGCCAGCAGGAAGACAGCAGCGCAGAGCGCCCGACGGTCTGGACTCGCAGGCTCTCGCAGCCGAACCTACACAGAGAGGTCACGTCAGCCAGCTCCTGCGCAGCTCTCCAGGCCAGGCGGTCGGGGCGGCAGTTAACCCCGAGCCCGGTCCAGGCGCAGACCACAGACACGATCAAATGTAAAAAGTAAGTTGCTTCCATTTTTACTCAATAGCAAGTTTAGGAGATGTTTCTACTGACTTGAGGAAGGTACTTCTGGTTGATAACACTAGTGAATAGGTTCAACTGTGTCCCCAAACAGTAGGCTGAAGTCCTAACCCCAGAACCTGAGAACGTGACCTCTTTCGGAAGTAGGGTTGTTGCAGGTGTAATTAGTCAAGATGAGTTCATAGTGGGTGGGATGGGGCCATAATTCAACAGGACTGGTATCTTTATAAAAGGGACATCTGGACACAGGGAGAACACTATGTGGACACACAGACAGAGATCAGGGTAATATGTCTACAAGCCAAGAACACCAAGGACTGACAACACCCACCAGCAGCGAGGGGAGAGGCCTGGGACAGACTCTCCCTCAGAACCTCCAGGGGAACCAGCCCCAAGACACCCGGATCTCAACTTCGGCCTCCAGAATGGACACGAGGATTTTCTATTGTTCACTCCACCTGGTCAGTGGTTCTGTTACAGCAGCCCCAGGAAACACAGCCAGAATCCAACTTTAATTTAGAATCCAAGTTTAATGGAGCTCATATTCACACAAATGCCTAGACCCACCATCTGACCAAGAACAATGGTCTAGGCTGCTCTTGCCCTAGGGAGGTGGGAGCTGGTTCCCCGGGTTACAGCACTGTGAGGCCGGAGCATCGCGGCAAAGGCTTCTTCTCACCCAGCTGTGCTGACGGTGAGGCTCCCACGCGTGCACCTGTGGTCCAGGGGGTGTCTGTGCTGGATACAGAAGTTGCCACTGCACTGCTCACAAGCCAGCGGCAGCATCTCTCTCTTCTTACATCCCTTTTTCGAGCACCGGTACGTAAATATCTGAGAAAGCCAGAGTTGCTTCAGTATTTCAATCACTTCAAAAAGCAATATTTAACAAGCCCCACAATAAAGCCATTAACATCTAACTAGAAACAGTTCTTAGCTACATGGAATGAAGAGGTCATGGTTTCATTCAGACATTTTACTGTAAAACAATGAATACTAACTAGAGACAAAAGTTTTAACAAGTAATAAAGACAAAAGCATCTATTTAGGTGGAGATTCTGTAGGGCAGTGATTCTCAACCTTCCTGATGCTACAGCCTTTGAATACAGTTCCTCATGTTGTGGTGACCCCCAACTATAAAATTATTTTCATTGCTACTTCATAACTGTAATTTTGTTTTCCGATGGTCCTAGGCGACCAAAGGGGTCGTGATGCACAGGTGAGAACCGCTGCTGCAGGGGGACTGAAGGTGCTCTCAGAAAACACACTGAACCCTGAGGGAGTGCCGTGGGACGGGAAGAGGACGAGCATGTGACATCACGCACAGTCCCAGGGGGCAGCTGGCCCCAGGAGCTCTGGAGCCAGTGGAGGTGTCCCCACTAGGGGAAGGGAGCTGGAAGATCTATTTATAGTCCCTACACCCATCAGTTAATTGGGTTTGGGGGGTGTAATATAAATTTCCAGGCACTTCCGAGACTGTGAAGGTGAGCATGTCAGTGAAGACAGATGTCCAGCAGCCTGGGGCCAGCCCTCTGGCAAGGACAGGCAGGTGTGGGCTGCGTCAAGTGACCTGAGTGTGTGCGAGCAGCGCAGGACACTGGACGCCTGCTGCAGGCAGCGGAGCCAAGTGCTTCAGAAGAACACGGAGGGCACATCCACGTGAGGCGATGGCAGAGGGGAAGAACTTAGGAGAAGGTCTGGGCTGAGCCAAGAAAAAAGGGATCATGCCGATTCGGAGGGGAGGCACGGCAGGTGGAGCTGCAGTCTTACAAGAGGCAAGAGGTTTTAAAAGACTGTCCAGAGGGCTGGGAGGGCGCAGCACGCAGCACGCAGCGAGAGCAGGGCAGCGAGAGCAGGCTAGAAAGGGGTGGGAGAGAATGACTCACAAAGGTCCTGTGCGATGCTGAGGCAGATGCTATTCTCTCCTGTTCGAGGTTGAAAACAGCAAAAGGTAACGAACCTTACATTTGCTGCCTGTAACCATAACTGCTATGTAGTCAATGTAACATACTAAGCTGATAACTACAAAAAAGAACCCATGACTAGAAACTGAGGTTTAAGCTAGACAGAAGCCTGAAGACGAGCTTTGGAAGCCGTGCACCTGTTCCAGAGAGCAGGACAGGAAGTGAGGGCCACCCCAGTGAAGCAGGAGGGCCACCAGGGAGGCAAGCTGCAGAGCAGGCCCAGACCTGACCTGGGAGGAGGCCTGGGGAGGCCTAGGAAGGCCTGAGAAGCTGAAAGCCCACTGGCCAAAGGGAGAGCACACAGAGTTCAATCTGTCTCCTGGGACTTCCAACGAAGGGCACAGAACTGGCTCTCACTCCTAAAATCACGGAAGTGACAGCAGAGATTTTCTGAAAAGGGATAAATCCACAAGGGCAAACAGTAAAAAGGAAACAACCGTGCATTTAAATTTTAGGGAAAAAAGCACATGGGTGAGTATTAGTGGATTTGGTAGATAAAAGAAAGCTAGATATAAGCTGGACGGGAAAGTCAAGAGAAAACTCGTTTATGAAACCCCAAAGCTCAGAAAATGGCAGTCCTAGGAACAGAGTGATGGGGGACCACTGCAGGAGAAACGGCTGAGCCTGTTTACAGCCCGGCAGCCCTGCCCAACGCCCGCAGGACTTGCTGGCCGGGGGGAGTGCAGCAGTGGGCAGGAGAACACGACGAGGACCGGACAGGGACCCGGAGGACAGTGAGGAGCTCACACCCCATGGGGAGAGCTGAAGGCTTTCTCCACTGGGCTCCAGAACTCTGGAGGCCAGGAGTGAGCGCTCCAGGCAGGGGAAGCTGACTGGCCCAAGAGAAAGACCAGACGACACAGACCTCCAGGCTTTCCTAATGGACAGGGCAACTGACCCATGGTGAAGGCGAGTCCACACTGCCCCCACTGAGCCACCGAGTGGTCAGCCACAGATCAGGCAGGTGAGGACAGTTACTGTGACAGGAAAAACAACCTGGACGCAGACTACACAGGGAAAGAAAACTTACAAGGAAAGACAGAAGACTTGTCCAGAGGCCCAGCACCCAACAAGTCTAGATGAAATCCAAGACTCCGAGATGGGGCTCCCAGTCTGGAAGAAGCCCCTGCATGCCTGCTCACCAGCTGAAGGTGGACCCACACCAGGACTGTTCCAAGTATGCTTCCAAACTCTGGGACAAAGAAGAGACCCTCAGGCTGCCTGGAGGAAAACTGGTTGGCGGCCTGGTAATTCTCTAAGGGCTAAGCAAGCACACGAAGCCGTGCCTGCAGGTCCCGAGGAAGGAATTCAGAGCAAGGATGCTCTCCCAGGCAGCCACTCCAGCAGCAGCAGAGAATAAAGACCCTGGAAACCCAGGTCAATGTCTCTTCCATCCTCCTTTGCAGGGAGAGAGTGGGGGAATGTGCCTCCACCAAAATAAGAAAATAAACCAAGAAAGAAACACAGGATTCAGGAGACCAGGGGTCCATTGAAGGGAAACAGGAAACGGATCCACCATAAGAGAAAAATGCAAAGGGAGTCTCTGGCTGTGTCTTCAGGGTGGTGAAGGCCTGGACACTCACCCAGAGTGCACTCCCCATTGCTGGGAGGGTGGGGGCGTGGGTTGAGAATGTGTGGGAGTCAGTGGGGACAGGAGCGCCATGCTCAGCTTGCACTGCAGCAAACACCCGATGCCCAAACTCGAGACCAACAGCACGCGCACGTGGGGAAGACGCAGGGGCCCCACTCTGCATGCAGAGGCCACTCGTCAAACAGCAGGCTTCCGAGCAGGGGCTCTGGCTGGCGTGCTGTTTCCTCCTCCCCCAGGAGGTTCCTGGGAAGTGTGCGCACTGACACAGTGCTTCTCGGAAACCACATGAACTCGTCTTGGGAGAACAGGTGTGAGGTTTCCGTAAAGAAAGCAAACCCTGCCCTGGCTGGTTTGGCTCAGTGGTTAGAGCGTCAGCCTGCGGTCCAGAGAGACCTGGGTTCAGTTCCCGCTAAGGGCATGTACCTCAGTTTCAGATTGTCCCCGGCCCTGGTTGGGTCGTGTAGGTGGCAGCCACTCAATGTGTCCCTTTCACGTCAATGTTTCTCTCTCTCTCTCTCCCTCCCACTCTGTCTGAATAAGAAATGGAAAAAATCTCCTCGGGTGAGGATAGAAAAAAAAAAAAGCAAGCAAATCCTAGCATAGACCAAATACTCAGAGAACATGTCTGTGTGACTGACAAACCCATGCCACTCACAAACAGACAACGCGAGAGCTTCAGTGAGCACGAACCGTCAGGACTGACGTCCAGTTAGGAAACCAGCAGTCAGAGCAAGACTCACCCTCACCTGCTCTTTCTTCTCAGGACGGTATTTACAATTTCTGTCAATGTGCTCTCCGACCACCACATCTGGTATCTCTCCCTTCCTTACTGGGACTGGGCTGTTACAAAGCGGGCATACTGGGACCTGAATATCCTAAAAATAATGAACATAAGGTGACATTCCAGATTCAGACAATCAGAACTCACACAAGCAAAAGGCACGATGGTGCAGAGCACCTCAAAGCAGACAGAGTACAGACACTGACACCTGACCCCTGAGAAGAAGGTACTGCTCGCTTCCTGGATTAACAGCAAGGCTCCCCAGGGCTTAATCAAGTTGCCTTATGCGAAATCTAACCGAAAGTAAACATAAGGGACTCTTAACCACCTGCAGAAATGACCCTAAGTCAGTCAGTAACAGGAAGCCAAGGAAGGAAGCTGGTGGCACTGATCTGATGGTCTCAGGGCAGAGGTCTGTATGTCCAGCACCATCTAGGTGAGAGGTGAGCCTGCTCAAACCCCTCCAGAGTGGAGACTACAGGAGAAAACACTACCCGTAGGTCCTCTAGCTCCCCTCAACTGCCAACAGCCTTCTGATCCTTCTGTGACTTCTACATGCAGGGACTCACTCACCAGTGGACAAGGGAGCAAACGGCTAGGCTGGGCTCTCAGGTACATTATAATCAGCCAAGCCCAAGACTGGAAAGGAGGGAGGGGCTCTGGAGGGAACAATGCAGCTGAACACCCAGCACTGTCAAGACAACCTCTGAGCCAGGGCAGGAGTGGAGGAAACAGCTCGGTGAGAACAGAGATGACAACTGGAGTCTGGAGAGGTGATGGGTAACCACAGAATCACAGGGGCTGCCCTGGCTGGTTTGGCGGTTAGAGCATTGGCCCACTGTCCAGAGAGACCTGGGTTCAGTTCCTGCTAAGGGCACGTACCTCGGTTGCAGTTTGTCCCCGTTCCCGGTTGGGGTCGTGTGGGTGGCAGCCAGTCGATGTGTCTCTCTCACATTGATGTTTCTCTCTCTCTCTTCCTCCCTCTCTACCTCTCACTGTCTGAAAATGAATCCAAATATGTCCTCGGGTGTGGATTAAAAAAAAAAAGAATCACAGGAGCCTAAAGTCTAAGGGCTGAGCTGGAAAGTCACCCAGGAGTGTCCCTTAAGTTAGCAAGTCTTCCAAACTCAGAAACAGAGCATTAGTGACTGATCTGTTGGCAGATCTCCCTACCTAGGGATGGGAGAGATCAAGTCAACAAATAAACCGAGTAGTTCGGCCTAGTCATCAGTCCCTGGTAAGCATGAGTGAGGTGTGAGTCACCCTCTCCACCCCCACAGTCTGGAGGGTCAGACGCTGGCCAGCACTGATCAAAGCATGTAATGCTCAGTCATTCACATTTCTTACTGCCTGATGAGGAAGCAGCAGAGTGCTAATCCAGGGCTCACCGACATAACCTCGCTGCCACCCTGAAACAAGGTGAATCCAGGCTGGGAGCACCTGCAAGTCTTTGGACTTAGACAGGTTGGTTTTCTTCATGTCATCTTCCAGTCTCTATCATGTACTACCCAGACAACTTAAATATGACATCAGGGTGTAAGTTACCCAGGTAAGTAACCATTCTGATAGCTTCCCAGTTAGATTCCACAGCAAGTATTAAACCCTTTCTTGCGCCCCCATAAAGATACAGCGTTGTTCTTCCTTGAATGAAAGGAACTCAGCCCTGTAACATGTAGAGTAAGCTCTGAATTTTGGATACCACAATCTTACTCGACGAGTCCCTGAAAATAAAAGCTGTCATCTATGAAGAGCTGCACTGTCCGGATCTCCCGGATGGTGGCGGTGCTGCGCGTCTGCACCGCCCCCTACAGCCAGCCCAGCGGCACTGCCGCGTGGTCACTGGACACTTGCAATGCAGCCCTGAGAAGTTGACGTTTTGTTCCATTTTAATTAAGTTCTCAGCTACACGAGGGTAGTGTCTATTTTGGACAGCACAGCTTTAGAGAGCGAGAACTAGAATCTCTCGAATAAAGTATAATAAGTTACCTTCTTGTATGCAAAGGGACATTTATGTGCAGCATAGGTAAAATGATCTTTACAGAAATCTCGTTCACATACATCACATTTTAATGGAAGAAAATCTAAAAAAAAAACCACAAACAATAAAGTGTTTTAAAGGCTAGAACAAAAAATTTATAGATTATATTAAACACGTATTTACCTACACTAAGTTTTTTATGTCTATTATATACATCCTTGAAGTATACTCACGAGAAAAAAATCAGAGGTCATTAATTTCACAATGCGAGACACTGACGACTCTATAAATCAATCTTTTCAAAGGAGGTCACATCCCACATGGTATAAGTATTTAAGCAGCACACTTCTATCCACTTGGTCCTGGCAACTAATATGGTGACCAGTTCTCCCCCTCAAAATAGCCAACAAAATATCCATTTTCTACTAATATTCTCTTCTAGGTGCTTACCTAGCTGCTTGCAAGTCTTCTCTGAACAGTGCCTCCCCAAATCAGGGAACTCCATTGTGAGCAAGTGTCCAAAACACAGAGGGCAGAGTGCTGTAGCACCTACAAGAAGGAACAGTTAGGAGGAAAGCAGGGCTGATTTCAGTCACCAGGATTTGTAACTTACAACCAAAGAAAGTAAACAAACATGCTCTGTAGGAACAGTCAACAAACATCCCAGTCATCCCGGGCCCGTGCAGGGACTAAAGCTTCACAAATTCTTTTCTTTCAGCAGAGAAATGGGGGGGGGGGGGGGGTTACCGTTTGCGCAAGTGCCAACTCATTTGCAATCAACCCCATTGAGACGCACTGTTTTTCAATCCTTTCAATTCCTGCTTTCTGAAGCTCACCCCAATTCAGCTTTTCACCGAAAGCAAAGTCTTACTCATATTGAGAGGACTTCCCATCTCCAATTTACACAGCTGCCAGGGAACGCTGCAGCCTGGGCAAAGTTTAAGACACAATTTCTTCTACCGGACACACTTGTTGACACAGACAAAACTCCGTTACCAGGTGCTAAGTCACACTCGTCGACTACACTATCCCGGAGAGATTCAACTCGGTCCCTCGCTGCTCTCTTTAACTCCCTAACCCACTGATTTTACTTAGAACTTACTCCTTAATGACAACCTGGAGTTGGCCAGGAAAAGGTAAGCTGTTAACTCTCCGTGGAAAACAGGTAGACACCAGGTGAACTGAGGTCCATAGCAGCCTCATAAGGTCCCCTCGGTGACCGGCCCCCAAACCTCGGAATACCTGTCCCTCCCAGAATTCAAGTCCCAAGGCCTTTCCGGACCTTCCCATCAGCGCCCGAGCTCCTGGGAGCATCGCGGCTGCCCCAGGCCTGGCATTCTCTGGCCCCAGGCACCGTGGTCCCCTGGTCTCGGCGCAGGGTCCCCTTCTCGAAAGGGCCTTTGCTACCATCCCCACCACGCCGCGCCTAAGCCGCGGAGCCTCCGCTCCTCCAGGACCCTGTCCTTTCCCCGCACAGCCGGTGTCCAACGGCACACCCGTCCTTGGCTCGGCCGAGGCAGGGCGCCCGGCACGACACCCAGTGGGTGCTCCGGCCCCTTGTGGAAGGAACTGGACACCCGGGCCCGGGGTCGCTCTCCCAGGACATTACGCGTATCCGTCCCCACAAGCCGAGCCTGTGCAATTCACGACCCCGTGTGACCCTGGCGCCGCGCTCCAGACGCCTGCTGCGGCCGCTGTGCCCGGCCCGGCCCTCGACCCCGGCCCCCGACCCCGGCCCCGTGGCGCCGCCCGGCCCCGCACCTGGCTCTCGTCGGGGGCCCGGGCAACCGCGAAGGCCAGCCGAAGGTGGCGCAGACGGGAAGCTGGGTCGCCCTTTCCGCGGGACAAGGCCGAAAGAACGAGGAAAGCTGGGCGCCACCGGCTACCGGGGCCCGCCCGAGCCCGGGGGAAAGCGAAGCGCCGCGCCGCCCCGCGGTCCCTGCCATTTATTCGCTGCCGACGCGCCCGAGACCCGCCGGGACCTCCGCGTCCCCGCGCGCCCCGATGACGACACCGCCGGACAAGCCAATCCCGTCCCGCCGCGGCTCGGCGTTCCCGGCGCGCCCCGAAACGTCACCGTCAGGCCAGCCAATCCAGCCCCGCCGCGGCCGCGTCAGCCCGCCCACTCCTCGACCCCGCCCACTCCTCGACCCCGCCTTCCTTCTCCAGCAGCCCGGTAGCTTCTGGAAGCGCAGTCACGATGAGGCAGCTCCGCGCAGGCGCACTGGGCCGGGCGCGAGGCGCGAGGCGCGGGAAAGCTGAGTCACGGGGCGGGCGGCCTCGGGAGCCCCGCGAGGGACGGGCGGAGGGGCCGCGGCTTGCGTGCGTCGTCACCCGCGCCGCAGGGCCAGCGAGGGCCGGTGGGAAAGCCGCCCTCCTGCCAGGAAGACGCGGCGTGGTCGCAGACTCCCGTGGGAACTGCAGCCGCTCCGGAGAGGCCTGTGTCTGTGTCCCAGAGCCTCGCGCCAGTGCGGGGGCCGCAGTGCGGAGAGCGGTGGGCGCGGACGCGGCCGGGCAGCGGGCCACGCGTGGGTCCCGGCCGGCGCCCGGCCCGTGTGCTGGGGGTCGACTCAGGGACACCGAGCCGGCGACGGCCCCGCCACCCACGCCCGCCCCGGCTGTCCGCGCGCCGCAGCCTGCTCGGGCGCAACACCGGACGCCCCGGACGCCAGCTCGCGGCCCTTTGCAACAGCCAGTGGCCGCCCCAGGCACAAGCATGCGCCAGCCCGACGCCGGACCCGAGCCGGACCCTGTCCATCGCCCTGCCCGTGGCCGAATGACCGCCGAAGCCCCGCGAGCATCGCTTCTGGAGCGGCAGACCTTAGCGAGTGGGCAGGTGCACAGACGCGGAGCCCAACATAGCGAAGATCGGGGTGTGTGTGCTCACGCGCATTTATACACGCGTGAAAGCATGCTGTACACGTGACACGGTGCCCGGGTAGTGCCCTGTGTATTTCCCCGAAGCTGACACTTCTCCGTCACAGCATTCCAGCCGCCCACGGAGGAAACCACTATACAAACAATATTAAGGTTCAATCCACAGACCCCATTTGGATTTTGACAGCTGTGTCCACGATGTCTCTTTCTGCCCCAGCATCCCATCCACAATCACATGTGTAGTCCCCTCCAAGCGAGGGCAGGTCCTCTGTCATTCCTGTCCCTGACCGTTTTTCGGCTTTTATGAAAAACCACAGGCTTTGGCCCAGGCTGTGTGACTCATTGAACGCTGTCCCATGGACTAAGAGGTCCCAGTTTCATTCCCATCAGGGCACATGCCCGGGTTGCAGGCTCCATCCCCAGTAGGGGGTGTGCAGGAGGCAGCTCACCTTTGCATCAATGTTTCTCTCTCTTCCTCGCTAAAAATCAGTAAAAACATTAAAAAACACACAGAGACTTTTCATACATGTAAGAAAGCAGGGTTCTTTGGAAAAGACAATGCGGGGAAAACAACGGTAAGCAGCAGGGAAAGAGAAAGACCAAATAGGAGATGGATTGACTCCATAAAAGAAGCCACCTGCTGAGTCTCCAGGAGCTGAACAAGGCTGTTGAGGATAGGACACTGGACATCACTCATTCACAGGGTCGCCAGGAGTCTGAGTGGACTCAGTGGCACATAACACACAAGACGACTCACTCAGGGTCCATCGATGTTTCATCAGGACAGGACAGGTCCTGTTTCCTCGGTAGGAATACCACAGAGATGGTGTGCTCGTCAGGGGCACAAAATTGCAACTCGTCCTGCCATGGGTGACACTAATCTTGAGTCCCAGTCACATCGACATCTGCTAGGCTTCTCCATTTTTTCATTCGTCAATTGATGAGTATTTTGTAGGGAGATGTTCTGAGATTCCACCATTTGCTTGTTTTTCATCAACATCTGCCTGACTTCCCTAACCTCTGCCAATGACTTCTGCCTGAACTACTTGCTCATTGCTAAATGCTACTTTTTAAAACGTCCATCATCTCGCCCTGGCCAGTTTGGCTCAACACAGCATTGATTCCAGTCAAGGGCATGTAGTTCATTTGCATGTTCAATCCCCGCCCCGGTTGGGGTTGTTATGGAGGCGGCCAATCAGTGTTTCTCTTTCCTTCCCACTCTATCTAAAAATCAATAGAAAATATACTCAGGTGGGCACTTGGCCCACCTCTACTATTCTTGGTCCTGATCTGGCCAAGGACACACCAAGTTGTGGGAACTTAGAAATCTTTTTTTTTTTTTTTCCTTTACTGATTTTAGAGAGAGAGAGAAACATTGATGAGAGAGAACATTGATTGGCTGCCTCCTGCATGCCCCACACTGGGGATCAGGCCCACAACCTGGACATGTCTCCTGATCAGGAATCGAACCGGTGACCTCTTGGTGCATGGGTCAGTGCTCAGCCAGTGAGCCACAGCAGCTGGGCTCAAGTTAGAATTCTTAAATGCAACTTTTTGCCGTTCACTGAACATCTGCATTCATACAGAGAGGTGCCACCCAGCATAAGTTAGGAGGCCACCGTCCACTTGAGTTTCTTATCACATCAAGAGTAAGGGCTTCCTTGGATGTCCTCTGAGAACTGCCTCGGGTTGGCAGGGGAGGAAAGACCTTGTAGTACTCATGACTCCACAGGGAAAGTGAGGCAGACCTCAGAGCCTTCCTTGGCAAACCTCCAGAAGTCTACTTGAAAGGAAGAGGCCACAGCGTGTCTGTAACACTCTGAGTCCCTTTCTAGGGACCACAGCGTTTTTCAATAATAGGTCACTTTTATGATCCTTATTTTATGCAGGAGGAAACTGAGGCACATAGGTGTTAAGGAACATGTCCATGCCCTGGCCGGTTCGACTCAGCGGTTAGAGCGTCGGCCTGTGGTCCAGAGAGATCAGGGTTCAGTTCCCGCTGGGGGCACATACCTCGGTTGCAGTTTGTCCCCAGGCCTCGTTGGGTCGTGTGGGAGACAGCCACTCGATGTGTCCCTTTCACATCGATGTTTCTCTCTCTCTCCCTCCCACTCTATCTGAACAAAAAATGAAAGGATGTCCTCAAGTGAGGATAAAAAAAAAACATGCCCACGAGGATAGTCAAACTCACGGTCCTGCGCCCACCCTCTTAACTCTTCCTCTGCTGGCCAGGGGTGCAGGTGGAGAGGCAGGCAGGGACCAGATCACGCAGGACCTGGAAGGTCATGAGAAGACTTTGGACTTCATAGAGTACAAAAGGATAACGTTGAAATGTTTTAAGCATGACCTTGAAGGTGGGCAGAAAACAAAATTCATATTCTAGATATACTCCACATAGCTGTACAAAAAATGATAACTTTCTGCATTTTCTAAACGTCAACTCAGCTTCCCTTTGTAGCCCTCAGACTGCCACAGGCAGACAACTTGCTCTGTCCCATCACCGCATGTCCGGTTTTCCAGATAGAGTGGGAGGGAGGAAGGGAGAAAGAGAGAGAGAAACATCAATGTGAGAGAGACACATGGATTGGTTGCCTCCCGCACAACCCCAACCGGGGCCAGGAATCGAACCTGCAGCCAGGTACATGCCCCTGACCAGGAATCGAGCCTGTGACTCTTTGGTCCGCAAGCCTACGCTCTAACTGCTAAGCCAAAGCGGCCAGGGCTCGTGCCGGGCTTTCCGTCATGGCCTCTGACTGTGAGCTCATTGCACGCAGTGCAAGCCTGTCCCGACGCAGGTTACGTGTGTGAGTGACCCTCTCAGCCTTCCATGCCAGGACCCTTGGGGGGGGGGGGTCGGCTCCTAGAGCTTCTGTGTAGGGAGTGTGACTCTGGAGGTGCCACCTCAGGTCCCTCCCTACCTGAGCACACCCCAGGTGTCTGCACTCTGCCAGTGTTGGCACAGAGAAGCCATGTACCTGTCCTGGAGGTGCAGGTAGGAAACCAGGCGCGGACCCCTCTGCTTGCAGGTCGTCCCTGCACTCATCGGAGGCGTTTATCACCTCAAGTCCGACCTGAGGGTTGTAGGGTGAGCATCGGCCCTTTCTCAGGGATGCAGGCATCATGATAACCCAGGCGCCTTCCCTTTGAAAGCTCTTCAAGCCCCTCCCAGCCCTGGCAGTACTTTTGTCAGGAAATGTCTCTCATGTCCTATTTTGGGTTTCTTGCTCTGGGGTGAATCTCCCCAGCTTGGGCTCGTGGTTCTCCTTGCTCTCTCCTGAAGCTTTGCTTTGAGACTGTGGCTTGCTATGAGCAATGAAAAGTTTAGGTTTAACACTCAAAACTCAGCAACGACTTCTTGGGTCTCGGCAGGCCCTCTGCTCTCCCCCGCGCAGCTGAGTGCCTCTCCACAACCTCATCTGGGTGGTGGAAGCTGGCTAGTTACAGAGAGCAGGAGGCACACTGAGGCGGTGTCCGCCACGCACGCCGTGACATTTGCTCAGCGGCAGGACGGGGAAGACAGAGGGCGGAGAGGCAGGAGCAGAAGTGGGTAGCGGGTGGGAGGCTGTCACAGCTGTCTAGGCAGGTATATGGGGAAGGTTCAGAGAGGGGCTGAGATCATGCTAGGAGAGTCCTGAGCTGGTGAGGGTGCTGGTGCGGAGGAGGTGGGAAGAAAGGAACAGATTCGGGAAGTAGTCGGAAGGAAGAGGAGTCGGTGGAACGTCTTAGCTGAACGGGCGAAGGACGGAGAGCAGGTTCGCGAAGTTTTGAGTCTGCGGAAGCAGAACCGGCAGGAGGTTACCAAGGGAAGGGGTTTGAAGATAAGTCTGTTCGGGGTCATGTTGAGTTTGGAGACGGTGTAGGAACAGAGGAAACAACAAAACTTGAATTGGAATCCTGTTTAAACCCAAGACAATGGATAACGGCTCCAAAAGAGAGTTAAGAAACGGCCAGAAGGAGTCCGAGGGGCCGCTGCAGAAGCAGTGGGAGGAGGAGGGGGCAGAAAAGGAGCGTTCCTCGAGGTAGGA